TACCCTGGCAGACTGAATGAAAGGAGGGAGATATTCATCAGTCCTGGGATCTTAGCCCTTGGAAGGAGTGGGAGGAGCTGCCTGTGAAGGAGATGGACAAGTTGGGAACCAGGAAAGTGACACAGGGCAGACGGTGATGGCCTGCCAACACACGTCCTTGGAGGAATGCCTGAAACCACCATCACCTCTGAAACCTTGTAAGAAACGGAGTATCTATTCAGTAAATAGGTATTAGTTGCCTCTTATGTCCCTCTTAGCATCCTAAGCACTGTGAACTCAATGGTGAGCAAAGACACCTACTCTCTTGGAATCTATATTCTAGTGGGGAAGACAGGAGAGAAATGTCTATTCAAAAGAAAAAATTATGAGTAACTTGCCTCATGATAAGTGTTCTAATGGAACCTTCAATTGCATGCCATCCTCCACCAAAGAGAACATTTTTAGAAATTGATTTATATGTCTTTGTTGCCATGCCCAGGCTTTTCTCTAGTTGTGGAGAGCAGAGGCTACTCTCTACTTGCAGTTCATGAGCTTCTCATTGCAGTGGCTTTTCTTGTTGCACACACTCTAGGGTGCACAGGCTTCAGTGGTTGTGGTGCACACAACTGAGTTGCCCCATGACATGTGGAATTATTAACCCACTGGAACACAGGAAAGTCTCAAACAGAACATTAAAGACCAAGGAATTGTGTGGACACAGTGCAGATGGTGTAGAGATGAGCATGATTATAAACCCCTGGGTTCTCCAAAGGAGCACCTTAATGCCACTTAGCTGTATGTCAGCTGTAAGTCTATGAAGACAACTCAGGTTGGCCCTCCTTTTGTTGTGTTGAGGGACATAGACTCCAAATGGTCCCTTCTAAGTTGAAAGAAGATATTCCAGCCCAAGTGAAACTTCGTGGGAAATCAAATTCTCCTGGTTTGAATAGATACACCCCAGAACATGATTACATGTATTTATGCATTGGAGAAGGAAATTGCAACCCACTCCAGTATTCTTGCCTGGAGAATCCCATGGACAGAGGAGCCTGGTGGGCTACAGTCCATGGGGTTGCAAACAGTCGGACACTATTGAAGTGACTTGGATGCATGTATGCAGGTGTGTTAGATAGTTCAGTAGAGTTTACATTTTACTGTTTGCTCTTATAATTGCTGTTCACATTCAGTTTTAATTTGAATCTTAAATATCATTGGGAAAGTACATTTTGGTGGTGGGAAGTTTATCTTGTTTGATGATAGACTACAGGCACATAACACATATTCATTCCATGTGAGATGTTTCTTTCTTTCTTTCTTTTTTGGCTGTGCTGGATCTTTGTTGTGGCATGCAGGCTTTTCAAGTTTCAGCATGCATGTTCTCTAGTTTTGGCACATGGGCCTAGTTGCTCCACATCATGTAGGATATCACTTCCCAAACCAAGGATCAAACCCAAATCCTCTCTGATGGAAGGCAGATTCTTGACCACTGGACCTCCAGGGATATCCCTGGGATGTTTCTTAAGGTCCTGCTCTGTGCCAGGTCCTACCCCTGCAGCTCAGTCATCCAAGCAAAAGGGTAGAGGAAACCTAAAATGTACACAAGAAGTTTCTGTTCATAATGGTAAATAGAAATAGGGGAGTGCCCCGGGGGTGATTATGGTGTTTAAAATGAGCTTCACAGAGAAGGAGAGGGTTTAAGGATGAAGGAGCTTCCTGGTGGCTCAGACAATAAAGAATCTGCCTGCAATGTGGAAGATCCAGGTTTGATCTCTGGTTCGGGAAGATCTGCTGGAGAAGCGAATGGCAACCCACTCCAGTATTCTTGCCTGGAGAATCCATGGACAGAAGAGCCTGATGGGCAGCAGTCCATGAGGTTGCAGAGTCGGACATGACTGAGTGACTAGCACTTCCACTTCTGCAAGGAGAAAATGGTGCAGAGAGTTGGGGCCGGGACCCTGGAGTCCTGTGCCATGCGTGGGGGAGTTGATGATTGCAGAGGTGGGAGTGGAGGTGTGGTTCTAAGGCACCCAGCGTGGTTTGCAGACTGAATGAAGGATCAGCTGGGCCGTCATGGTGGGAGGAGAGACCCATGAAGGAAGCTGGGCATTTAGAAAGGGGCTGGGGAGAGAGAACCTGACCAGAAACTGACAGGGTGAGCACAGAAGGAGCTTCCAGAAGATGCTTCCTGTCCAGAGACACCAGGAAGGAACGTGGACAGGATTGAAGAAAGGCCTCTGATGGAGCTGGATTGGAAAACTGTGGCCAGAAACCAGAGTGCCTAAAGGATGCAGGTTACTTAAGCCCTGAACCATTGGGGTGCAAGCCTAGAAGGCAAGGGCAGGGGCCAGCGACCAGGGAGCTACTGTCACCCTGGGCCAAAGCTCGTACTTGTCACAGAACTGTTGGAGGTGCTATCCTCTCTATCAGGTAGAAACCTAGGATGCTGGCAGCCCCAGCTGCTGCTGGAGTTACCTGCGGGCAACTCCATCACCTCTGCTCCCATGTCATGGAGCCAGGGAAAAGAAAGGATGCCGCCCCCTGCCCTTGCCTTCCAGGCTTCCACCCTGATGGTCCACAGTTACGACTCAGCAGGAAGCCAGGTGGCACAATGGAGAGTCTGGGAATGCAGTTTGCAGTCTGCAGTGGCCAAGAGGAGAGAGAGAGTAGAGGCCACAGCCCACAGCGCTGTCCAGGGTGCAAACCGTAGGCAAGGGCAGAATCCAGGTTCTAATAGCACCGTCTGCTTTGTTCTCGGGAGGTCAACTTGGGCATGAAGTGTCATTCTGTTCATAAAAACACAGGCATCATAGAAACTTCCACTTTATAAGTGTCTTGGTAATAAGCAGCCCCTTGGGACCCTCCACTTGGCTGACTGTGTTCAAGTAACCACAGAGTTATGGTGGTTGAAATCCTTCCATGGTCTCAGTTGATCTCATTTCTCCTTTAAGAATTCAGTAGATTCCTCAACAGAAATTTGCTCATGAGGCCCTTGGCATGTTTTTTTTTTTCTTCTAATATTCAAATGGAGTGACACAGGTCTATGAAAATTCTTACATTCTAGTGCTGCACGGTTAGAATTGGAGTTGAGGGAGAGTGTTAATGATAGCAAAACATCAAATACTTGAATGTCAGTTGGAGAAAAGTTTTTGTTTTTCCCCCAAAGAAAATGTCACAACGCTAATGGGGGAAATGAAGTGAATAATGAGATATAACTTCCTCCTGGCTACAAGATTAAGTATAGTAAAGATATGACTTCCTAAATTAATATATAAATGTACCATGATGCTATAGGTGTGTATACTAGCTGAGATTTAAGTAACAGTTGCTTAAATAAGACAGAAGTTTATTTCTGTCATGTAAGAGTCCAGAGACAGGTGGTCCAAGGTGGATTGGTGGCTCTGTCCATAGGGGTGGCCCAAAGACCCAGGTCTCTTCTCTCTTGTTGCTCCTCCATCCCTTGGGTGATGTGCTGTGTGTGGGCCAGAGTGGCTCATCGGGTTTCAATATTTCAGCCATCAGGAAGAGGGATAAAGGAGAAAGGGAAGTTCACCAAGAGATGCACCCTCAAGTTGTACAAGTCACTTTTGCTTGTTTTCCACTGACTGGAACTTAGCCATGAGACTATACTTAGCCACAAAGGAGGCTGGGAAATGTCGTCTTTATTCTAGGAGGCCATGTGCCCAGCTAAAAATCCAGAGTTCTGTTCAACTGCGAGGAGGGGGGAAACTGATATGGGGGGAGATGTTTCAATGTCTACTACAATACCCATTGGAATATTACTTAGAAATTGAGAATCTGAGATAAAATTAATTGAAAAGATGAAGTAGGCAGCGTACTGCAGAACATGCATATTTTTTAAAGAAAAACTTCTTTTAAAATTACCGTGTTTTCTTTTTTCCTTAGTGTAACCCTCTTCCTCTGTGTACATTCCTTTTTAACGTACATTTTCTTTTTAAACTTTTATGGTACAAAATTTCAAAGATCATTGAGAATTGTATAGTGAGCCCTGTGTACCCATTGCCTAGGTTCAATAGCAGTTTAAGGTTCATCCTGTTTCAGCTATTCCCATACACACTTATACCCTTCCTGTTTTTTGAAGCAGTTTTTTCACGTCTCCTGTTTTGTCTGTAAATAGTTTCATATGTATCTCTAAAAGGTAAAGGCTCAAAAAAAAAACTAGACTTAATTTTGGGATAGTTGTAGAGTCACAGGCAGTTGTAAGATATAACACAGATTACTCCTTTTCTCCCCAGTGGTGTGTGTCTGTGTGTGCTCAGTTTTGTCCAGTTATTTGTGACCCTATGGACTGTAGCCCTCCAGGCTCCTCTGTCCATGGGATTTCCCAAGCAAGAATGGATTGGAGTGTGTTGCCACTTGCTACTCCTGGAGATCTTCCCGATCCAGGAATCAAGCCCAAGTCTCCTGCATCCCCTGCATTGGCAGGTGTATTCTTTACCAGAGAACCATCTGGGAAGCCCCTCCCCCTAATGGTAGCAAAACTGTAGATTATTGAAGCTGGGATATTGACAGGCATACAATCAAGAAACAGAATATTCCCATCCCCACATGGAGCCCTCATGTTGCCTTTCCACAGCCACTTCCATCATTCCTTCCCTTACTCCTGACCACTACTAATCCGTTTACATTTCTGTAATTTTGTCATCTCAAGAACATTATGTAAATCGAATCCTACAGTGTGTAACCTTTTAGTATTGGCTCAGCTGGAGATTCATCCAGTTACTGTGTCTATCAATCCATCACTCCTCTTTCTGGCTGAGTAGTATTACACGGTACGGCTGTGCAACATCAAGGCTTCTTAGGGAATTCCTGGTGGTCCAGTGGTTAGGACTCTCTGCTTTCACTGCTGAGGCCCCAGGTTCAATCCCTGGTCAGGGAACTAAGATTCAGCAAGCCACACAATGTGCCTCCCAACCCCACCCCTGCAAAAAAGGTTTCTTTAAAAGCTTCATCTACGAAACTTACTTGCCTCTTCCCTTCCTCCTCTCTCTCCTCTCTCATAGCAATGCCAAGTGACCACAGCCACGTGAAGCTGAGAAGCGATTGCTCACGGCCCTCCCTGCAATGGTACACCAGAGCTCAGAACAAGATGCGAAGACCCAACTTGTTGCTAAAAGACATCCTTAAGTAAGACGGGGCCCTCAGGCCACAAGAGGCCTCTGATTTGGGCAGAACTGGGAGAAAAATTCAGTGAGAGCCCCTTGGTTACACTTGGTCACAGTCATTTAAAGGCATGTCTGAGTCGGGATTCAGAGCACATGTGCCCCAGCTGCCTGCATCAGGTCATGCTTGGTGGCAGTGCAGTGCTGGCCTAGGGGGCCGCCAGGCCCTGCAACTTCCAGGTCACAGCCCTTCCCACTGCTATTTCCAAGAAAAGAGGGCTTCCCCTTCGCTATTTCCAATGAGTCTAAAAATGCCCTGCAGGCATTTGAATAACATTTAACATTCAACACTAAGACGCATGAGAAGTATTCCACCCAGGTCACCCTTCCATCCTAATAAGAAGTGTGAGTGTGAGCATGTGTTTTCAGTCATGTATCTGACTCTTTGGAAACCCATGGACTGTAGCCCTCTAGACTCCTCTGTCCTTGGGATTTTCCTGGCAAGAGTGGGTTGCCATTCCCTTTTCCAGGGGATCTTCCCAACCCAGGAATTGAACCCGGGGCTCCTGCCTACAGGAAGATTGTTTACCACTGAGCCACCTGGGAAGTCATTAATAAGAGAAAGAATTGTTAAAGGGGGGATCTTTTCGGTTTTATTTGGTACCAGCAAAACCAGGTGGTAAATTACCCTTTTTTTTCATGTCTCTGGTTAGAAATCCAACCCTGAAATCTAGTCTCTCACCTCATTTTACTAATTTGGGAAGGACATGGGTAGAAAAGAAAGTGTATATTAATAAACATCTCCTTTTATCATCAACCAGTAATTATCAAGGCTTCCACATGCTTGGCCCTGTGCGGGGTACTGGCCAAGTGGGATATAGACCCAGGACCCCAACTCCATACAGTGTGGATGGGACAAACTCACAGTCAGGAATTACAGTGCAGCCAAATCAGTGCAGTAAACACTGAACCTGCTATTAATCTTTTCTTCCTTCCTCTTTTTTTTTTTCGTCCATGCTGCATGTCTTATGGGATCTTAGTTCCCCTGATCCCCTGCATTGGAAGCTTGAAGTCCTAACCATTGGGCTGCCAGGAAATTCCCCCCTTTTTTTCTTTTCTAATCAAAATAAGGGAATTATTAATACACTGAATATAATACCTTTACTGAGGGCTGAAGAAAGGAATAGGTAGTAACTGCCTTCACAAGATTCAAAACAGATTAAAGATACTCATCATCTCTGCTCCCCACATGTCCTCTTTCCACTTAAAGATGACTAGTATTACCAGTCTTGTGTATGTAACAAATACTCTACGTGTGTATTTCCCTCCCCACACCTTCAGTTTTTTACACAAATGGTTGTATCCCACTCACTTACCCATTTTTACACAAATGGGTGCATCCTACTCACTTACCTATTTTTACCCAAATGAGTGCATCCCACTCACTTTTATACAAATGGTTGCATCCCACTCACTTCCATATTTGATCCCACAGAAGAATTGAGATACTTGTTCAGGTTTCATGGTGGACTCTATTGAAATGTGAATCAAGAAGTCTTTTTGTAAATTTGTTTTTAAATTGGAGGGAAATTGCTTTACAATGTCGTGTTGGTTTCTGCCATACAATAGTGCAAATCAGTGCACCAGCCCTGAGCACTTGTCTCATGCATCCAACCTGGGCTGGTGATCTGTTTCACCCTGGATAATATACATGTTTCGATGCTGTTCTCTCAAAACATCCTACCCTCGCCTTCCCCCACAGAGTCCAAAAGTCTGTTCTGTGCATCTGTGTCTCTTTTTCTGTTTTGCATATAGGGTTATCGTTACCATCTTTCTAAATTCCATATATATGCGTTAGTATACTGTATTGGTGTTTATCTTTCTGGCTTACTTCCCTCTGTATAATGGGCTCCAGTTTCATCCATCTCATTAGAACTGATTCAAATGAATTCTTTTTAATGGCTGAGTACTGGGAAGACCCAGAGGGATGGGGTGGGGAGGGAGGGGGGAGGGGGATCGGGATGGGGAACACATGTAAATCCATGGCTAATTCATGTCAATGTATGGCAAAAACCACTACAATATTGTAAAGTAATTAGCCTCCAACCAATAAAAATAAATGAAAAAAAAACAATAGTGCAAATCAGCCATAATTATACATATATCACCTCCCACTCCTAGTGATACTTTCTTGGGTCATAATCCTCAGATACTAGGAAATATTTCGCATCTATTGTGTACAGTATACTATTCTAGATGCTGTATTTTTTAAACTGTCCCTTTCTTTAACAAATAGATTATTTTCCCCTTAAGGTTATTCCTTCACTTTGTTTTTTCAATAACACAAATTATTTATAGGAGTGCTTCTTAAACTTGATTTAAATTTTTTTAACCTTTACTTTGTCAGTAACCCTTGGAGAGCTTAGTAAAACGAGATTTCTTAGGAATTCCCTGGCAGTCCAGCAGTTAGTACTTGGCATTTCACTGCCTGGCCCCAAGTTCAGTCCCTGGCTGGGGAACTAAGATCTCATAAGCCTCATGGCCTGGCCAAAAAGAATGAGATTTCCAGAACCAGGACTAAACTCAGTTCTTTTCTCCCAGTGTGTGTGTCTGTGTGTGTGTGTGTGTGTGTGTGTATTTAACTGTAGAATAGTTTGGATTTATTAGGCTTTTTAAAAAAATTTATCAGAGTTTTAAAAATTGTTTTCACAGGTAGTCTTCAAGGTGACTAGTGGTACTGTCTTAGTTCATTCTGTCTCATTTCTGGGTATAATTTTTTAGAAGACTAATAAGTAGATTGTTTATTTTGTTTTCTTTTTTTATGGAAGAGCTCACAGTATTTTCTCCCAGTTTTTTTTAATTATGGTAAAATATCTTAGATTTACTGTCCTAACCATTTCTAAGTGTACAGTTTCATCAGCATTAAGTACATTCACACTGTTATACAACATCACACCATCCACCTCCAGAACTCTTTTCATCTTGAAAAGCTTGATCCTTTTTACCCATTAAACACTACCCCATCCTCCACTTCCTCTAGCCCCTGGCAACCAACATTCTAGGTTCTGTCTCTGTAATACATTTTGACTAGGCGCATCTCATGTAAGTGGAATCTTACAGAATTTGAAGGGCTATTTTAAAGTAGCAAACGATTAAAGATGAGGTTCTGTAGCTCAAAATTTATTAGCTGTTTTTGAAGTCCAGTAATCTTTATAGTGATTCAGATTTTACTGTGGTGCCTTTGCAGAAGAAAACTTTTTCTTGTTTATAACAAAGACAGTTATAAGTGACTCATTTATCTTGTTAGGAAAATAAGAAATGCCACCCTACGAGGTCATCTTAAAGGCTGTACTTTCTTGCTGCATGTCAGACAAACTCAATTTGGATTAGGTTTTCAGTTATTTCACGTGTTCTCTCTTGATTATTCCATGACAGTGTCATTGTGCCTCATTAATTTTTTTTCTAGGTGTACACTGCTTGTATTTGGAGTGTGGATCCTTTTTTATATCCTCAAGTTAAATCATACTACTGAAGAATGTGACATGAAAAGAATGCCTTTCATGGATCCTGATCGCATAAAGGTTAGCTATTCCATCAGTGTGGTTTAAATTAGAATATTTCCAAGTGTATACTTAAATAGTAATATCATCTTTAAAGTGTTATAAGTAAATGTTCATGAAAGTTATAAGCAGAAGGGAAATCACTTAACCTTTGCACTTCAAAGCACCCACCTCACCCTCCTTGTTCTTCCTTCATTCACTGAAGTCATGGGGTAACGTGAGTTCTATTTGATCCTATAGGGCAGTGGTCCTCAACTTTTTGAGCACCAGGGATGGGTTTTGTGGAAGACACTTTTTCCATGGACTGGGGTGGGAATGGGGATAGTTTTGGGATGATTCAAGCATATTACATTTATAATATCATTGCTGATCTGACAGAGGCGGAGCTCAAGCAGTAAGGCGAGCAGTGGGGAGCGTCTGTAAATAGAAATGAAACTTTGTTTGCTTGCCAGCTGCTCACCTCTGACTGTGTGGCCCAGTTCTAACAGATCGTGGATTGGTTGGCCTATGGCCTGGGGGTTCGTGAAGTTAATATGCTGTGATGCTGTCAATGTACATGTTCTTAAAGCAGATCAGGAAGAAATTCTTTTCCTATTGTGTGTCATTTCTGTGTTTAATTTTTTTGTTTTAATGATTTCACATTGTATTTCAGGATTTTTCCTTCAATGTGTATTTATTTTTTAAAATCAATTGACATATTAAATGCTAATTCCACTGATGGAGTTGCAAATTATCTGATAATGTTCAGCCCTGGACAAAAGATGAGATGATTTTTAGTAACGTATCATGGTATTAATGATGACTGACACATATCGGTGCTTTACATATATTATCTTTATAAATTAAATTATATTTAATTGTCATGCAGTGTTCTCTGCATCATACAGATGAAGCCCTGAGAGGTTAAGCTGCTGGCCCAAGTTCACACTTAGTTTCAGTTCAGTCACTTAGCCATGTCCAACTCTTTGTGACCCCAAGGTCTGCAGCATGCCAGGCTTCCCTGTCCATCATCAACTCCCAGAACTTGCTCAAATTCATGTCCATCGAGCCAGTGATGCCATCCAACCATCTCATCCTCTGTCATCCCCTTCTCCCCTTGCCTTCAATCTTTCCCAGCATCAGGGTCTTTTCCAGTGAGTCAGTTCTTCTCATCAGGTAGCCAAAGTATTGGAGCATCAGCTTCAGCATCAGTCCTTTCAATGAATATTCAGGACTGATTTCCTTTAGGATCGACTGGTTGGATCTCCATGCAGTTCAAGGAACTCTCAAGAGTCTTCTCCAACACCACAGTTCAAAAGCATCAATTCTTTGGCACTCAGCTTTCTTTATGGCCCACCTTTCACATCCATACATGACTACTGGAAAGACCATAACTTTGACTATGCCAACCTTTATTGGCAAAGTAATGTCTCTGGTTTTTTAATATGCTGTCTAGGTTGGTCATAGCTTTTCTTCCAAGGACAAGCATCTTTTAATTTTATGGCTGCAGTCACCATCTGCAGTGATTTTGGAGCCCAAGAAAATAAAGTCTGGCACTGTTTCCATTGTTTCCTGTCTTATTTGCTGTGAAATGATGGGACTGGATCCATGATCTTCGTTTCTGTGAATGTTGAGTTTTAAGCCAGCTTTTTCACTGTCCTCTTTTCACCTTCATCAAGAGGCCCTTTAGTTCGTCTTTGCTTTCTGCCAAAAGGGTGCTGTCATCTGCATATCTGAGGTTATTGATATTTCTCCTGGCAATCTTGATTTCAGCTTGAGCTTCATCCAGCCCAGCATTTCACATGTTGTTTAGTTTAGTTAGCTAGTTTAGTTAATCTAGTATATTGTGTGTGTGTGTGTGCACACGCACGCGCACACTCTTAGTCATTTCTCTAACTCTTTGTGATCTGATGGATTGTAGCTCACCGGGCTCCTCTGTCCATGGAATTTTCCAAGTGAGAATGCTGGAGTGGGTTGCCATTTCCTTTTCCAGGGGATCCTCCTAACCCATAGATTGAACCCACGTCTCTTGTGTATCCCGCGTTACAAGGTGGATTCTTTACCCCTGCATCACCTGGGAAGTGCATATACTGTGGAGCTCTTCTAAAAATGATTTTGCAATAGAAGTTCATTTGACCCTGATTATAGTCCTGGAGATAAAGCTATTGTTATTATCCCTACCTGATAGCTGAGGATATGTAGGAACAGCAAGATTAAATAACCTGTCTAAGGTTACCTGAGTGCTTGAGTCAGAGCTTGGACCCAGCAGTGTGGTTTCAGAGTGCAGGCTCCTGGTGACTCTGCTCCAACCTGGGTAGAAAGTGTCCACAAAGAAGAAGCCAGAAGTTATAGGTAGTGTGATGCAGAGAGCAGAGAGCTTCAACTTTGACCTGGTTTCAAATCTAAATGCCACTCAGTTACAGTGAGACCTTGGGCAAGTGACTTAATTGTTTGATGTGCGTGCCTGCTAAGTTGCTTCAGTCGTGTCCGACTCCTTGTGACCCCTTGGACCATTGCAGCCCTCCAGGCTTCTCTGTCCATGGGATTCTCCAGGCAAGAATACTGGAATGGGTTATCATGCCCTCCTCCAGGGGATCTTCCCGACCCAGACATTGAACCTCGGAGTCCCCATTTTCTCAGCTGTGGGGAGCAGATAACATCATGTGTGCAATGGAGTGGTCATCAGAGTCCAGTAAGATAACAGGCACAGAGCCCTTTTTCTAGTTATGGTTTTTACTCATGTGTTTCTAATCTGTATATGCTTGGAAGTGCCTCATATTTTTTTGTGGGACAAAGAGGTATAAACGTACATGAAAAGAGCATAGATAATAAATGCACATGTGGCTTGTGCAGAACCCTTGTGTCTCAGGAGTCTTGCTGGTCATGGGGCCTTTCTTTCCTGCTGTTTCTGTCCTCAGACGTTTGCCGACTCAGCTCATCCCAGGAGCATGACTTGGCTCCTGCCAGTCTCTCCAGCCCCTGTGTCACCCCACCGTCCCAGCCCTGCCTGTATCAGGCAGGAAAAACCCCTTAATCTACAATCAAGGTGTAGCTCTTCACCTGCATGTGAAATGTCTATTCACATTCTCCACCCGATTTTTAACTGGGTTATTTGTCTTTTTATTACTGAGCTGTATTAAAGTCAGAGGAAGGCGAGAGGTTACATGAACCACGGCGTGATGTCTCCTCTTTGAACTCCAGATTGTACAGATAACGCATGGTTAAGTTTTAACAGGCAATTTAACGGTAATATGCGTGTGTTCGTGCTAAGTCTCTTCATTCGTGTCCGACTCTACGACCCCATGGACTGTAGCCCGCCAGGTTCCTCTGTCCATGGGATTATCCAGGCAGGGATACTGGAGTGGATTGCCATGTTCTCCTCCAGGGATCTTCCCAACCCAGGAATCAAACCCGCATCTTTAACGTCTCATGCATTGGCAGGTGGGTCCTTTACCACTAGTGCCACCTGGGAAGTCCCTACAGTAATATACATTACATTTAATATTCCTTTGAGGAATAAGACAGATACCTCCTCTTTGACTCTTCATAATTCCCAGTAGACAGAAAAAAAGCTCTCCCTCCTCTTCCCCCTAAGCCATGCAACATGAATTCCCCCTTTAGGCTGGTGGGACCAGTTTTAAACTTAAGTTCACTGTTGAACCAGTAACAGCTTCTCATGGGTGCTAGTGCCCTGTCCCAGTTGGCTTCAGTAAGGATTCCTGACTAGTCCTTGAGCAGGGGTGTAGGGAGCAGGGTACCTAATGGGCAGGGTCAGCCTCCTGGAGCCTGCTGGAGAAGGGATGATGACACTGCGGTTCCCGAAGAGGAAGGGACAGGAAATGGAGACCCAGGAGGCAGCCCAAGGGACCAGCCACATCAACCCAGTTCTGAAAGACTTCTAAAAGATCATTATCTTTTCCAATTAGAAAGTGCCCCATAATTGTGTGGAAAGGAGGAGGAATGGGGATGTGGTTGTGTAAGACAAACAGGTTTGTTCAAGTCTCAGTCTGGAAATTAATAAAGTAGAAAGTGAAAACCTGCTCTAATCATGGTGAGATGAGGGGCATCTTTTATTCTATTACTTGACACTTTTAAATGTTAGCACTGTTGACTCTGTCAAAATGCCCTGCTTCTCACAGTGGTCATGACTGTGCCAAAAAGCACCTGTCTCAGCAAGCATGGCCAAGGAGAGAAACAGCAAGAGTTAGATGCTGCTAAGGATGTCGGGTGGGGAATAGCAGGATATGAGACTGAAAGGAGACAGGACCAGAGCATGAAAAACCTTGAATTCCACCCTGTTGTTGTTCAGTTGCTCAGTCCTGTCCGACTCTTTGTGACCCCATGGACTTCAATATGCCAGGCTTTCCTGACCTTCACTATCTCCCGGTGTTTGCTCAAACTCATGTCCATTGCATTGATGATGCCATCCAAGTATCTCATCCTCTGTTGCTCCCTTCTTCTCCTGCCCTCAGTCTTTTCCAACATCAGGGTCTTTTCCAATGAGCTGGCTCTCCTCCTCAGGTGGCCAAATTATTAGAGCTTCAGCTTCAGCCATCAGTCTTTCCAATGAACAGTCAGGTTGATTTCCTTTAGGATTGACTGGTTTGATCTCCCTTCTGTCCAAGGGACTCTCAAGAGTCTTCTCCAGCACCACAGTTTGAAAACATCCATTCTTCAACCCTCAGCTTTCTTTATGGTCCAACTCTCACATCCATACATGACTATGGGAAAAACCATAGCTTTGACTAGACTCTGAGCAGCTCCTAAATTTGATGTCTGGTCCCACATCACCAAACAGGAAGAGAAACCGTTGTCTAAGTCCCCGTTATAGAGGAAGTGGACGGGAAACTGGCTGGTGTGAATGGCTGGGAGGTGGTGTTCAGTATGAGCTCCCTATAGAGAAATCTCTGTGTCCAGGCTTTGGTGGAGACTGACCCGTCCTACCAAGAGCGCTTGGATGAATCTGATGATTGTGGTTGTATATCAGCAGAAGATCTCAGTCATGTGAGTGGGGCCCTGTTAGCTTTGTTGACAACATTCAG